AAAACTAGTAGAATTTGAAGAACAAGTCATGACTAAGTTAGGAATGTACGCCTGGTTGATTTTCTCATCTTCTCGGGGGAAATTTTTTCAAAGAAATGCGGTCACTTTCGTGGACAAAACACCTTATACCTAAAATTCGAACTAATTCCCAACAAACATAAAAACAAAACAAATGAGCGAATAGAGCAGAAGAAGTGCTCACAAAAGATACACCACTTGATATAAAACAATAGCGTTCAGAGGAAGAATTTCAATTTGAAAATTGCCATGGCTTATCGGTCAGCCAGAAAACCAAATTCGAAAAGAAACACGGCAAAGCTTTTTCCAAATTTCAGCGGAATGTTCAGAAGAGGTCATAAGTAGAGGGTACATCATTGATTGATTTCTCCGAAGGGAAAATAAAGTTAGAGCTAGTTGTCGGTTTGGTCAATTTTTGTCGGCTGGACCTCCCATTTCGCAGGCCTAAAATTTGAAAATCCTTGACAAATGTGGAAGAAGAACCAGCTATTCAAGAGCAGCTATTTATTCATAGAGTAGAAATTTCTCCCCCGAATGGTATTTGGTGTGATGTAAAAACATGGGGATTCAGAAGAAAATTTTTCTGCATGATCAAAAACCTTCACTACTCATGCGACAACCTAACACATCATGCCTCACATTCGGAAGTGTCAACAGCTGCTCCAACTGTCACCGCGAGCTTGTATAATGTACTTCAGGTGAGGATGGAATCGTGAAACACTTTCCTCAGTTGCCCGTGATGATCACGAACGAGAATCACTCCGATTATTCAGCTCATTCATCAAGTTAGCTAATGTTCTAATATCTAACAAACTCTTCTTGACTGCTACATGCTATTCAAGAATGGATTCCACGATAAGGTCACTTCGGAATGGCAAACTTACCTCGTGGGAAGATAGGAGGACCCCTAAGGTTGCGGACCGACACGCAATCCGCAACGAAGGATATGCCCTGGCAACCTAGTAGTATGGCTCTCCCGCGGAGCTATCTCCTCGGTACGCCCCATTCCGAAGAAAGAGCGTTCGCTTGGGTAGTACCGATGAGAGTCGCATCAATGTGGAAATCAACAGGCAAGAAAGGGGTCTCCTTTCTCGGGTTCTCGGCCAATTCTTGGGTCCTGTACGGTTTTTTCTTCATCCCTGCACCACCGATCACCTTCTAATTTGATTTCTAATGGGTTGCCTTTTCATCGTAAAATCTGCCTTATCACCCCCACATTTCGGGAATTTTCGGCATAAAATTTCCACGAAATTCAATTTAGGTTTTGAGTTTCAACTAATTGTGAGGAATTCTGATTGCCATTGCGACTGACATGAACTTCTCTATAAAAGTTTCGCAACGTCGATGATGAGACACTCACGGAACTTTGGTGAACTCCGACTGATAAGATTATCTTAACATCAAAACAAACTTTACACCACACCCCTACGATCCCGATTACGGAACGGCGTAGGTGGTAAGCGTTTCGCAACTTGGCGCATAGTCTCTGTTATAGCATAGTGCAGTTCAATTATGCTTATGCTTCCTCACTTATGCGTAAGGATCAGCTTTTTTCTTCCTTTCTTTTGCTGGCCATTCCACATCTGTGATGCTTACGTTTGAGTGCTCTCCACCTAGCAACTGATCTCTGATTTCAGACTCTTTTCCTTCAATCACTTTCGTTGTAGTTATTCCCTGATAAGTTCTTACGCTAGTCCCTATTCTTGAAAATTTCATTAACTGCTCTCGTTAAACATGTCGTGTCGTGAATATCGGTCGAGAAAATCCTCAACGACAGCCGGTAGTATTTGCCCAGGTATTGGCGTCACATGGGGCTACGCATCTCGTGGGCAGTTCAGTCTCCGTGGATCACATGGGAACATAGATGAAGGTGTTAGCGCCAAGCAGCAAACGAAGATACGTGAAGAAACTTGATTAAGTTATCTTTGCAGTTCAACGGCTTAGTCCTCTATGCTTTATTGAGAAGGACGATGATTATGAAAGCAGTAAACGAATGAAAAGTGCACGCACGCTAAGGAACGGTGCGCACATGTCAATGATTCTGCCAAAGCACCTCTCGATCTGCTCCACTTTCTAGCCCTCGTAAAAGACCTGTTGCTTGGGCACGCTTAATCGCCAAAAAACGACATTAGAGAAGAAAAAGTCCGTGGCAAATGAAGCTGTTTCTACAGATCATACGAGCTACGCATGTTTTATACCATAACAGTTTCGTCAACAGGCATCATCATAATAACACTTTCAATACATTTCTCTGCAACTCTTGAGTGGAGGTTCGGATGCATGGTCATATTGAACGTAAGTCGGACGCGATTGCGTCCCGTCTTAATCGCTTACGTTAAAGAATTATTCCAGACAACATTCGAGTATCAACAATCAACATTGGAGTAGTGAAAGAACTTCTTAATGGTACAGAAACCGTCCGCGACTAATCCTCAACTGTAACCCATTGCGGACCGCCGTTATAATTGCATCACCGTAGGTTTTTGTCATCTCTTTTATCAGTGGCCAATAATCTATCAAAAATTTAATAACTTTGCAAATAAGTGATATATCCTGTGTCCGAAAAAGTAAAGAGTTGATTTTGCATCGAACAAAATGCTCTTGAAAAATCACAGATTACCTATCCTATCCTCCGCGTGATGGGCGCTGCTACACATGTGCGCACGCGGTCCGCCAATAGGTAAATATCTCCTCAACTAAGGGATCTGGAAAGAAGCAGAACAGACCAAAACAAGGAGCGAACCTTCCCCGTTTCAAAGCTATTTTCTTTTTTTTCAAATTCTCACGGAATAGAGAGAGATATGGCCTTTCAAGAGTGGCAAAAACTCGCATGAAAATTTCAGCGTCCTGACGCAGTTTAGGAGACCCTATCTCCCGAGTGAAGGCTTTCATGATTGTTTCAAAAACGCTGGCTGGGTATGAAAGAATCTTAGTATCTTAACCCTTACCGCACTTTCTCAATTCATGGAAATGTAGGAGTGGTACTCTTTAACGAGGGAAGGATTTGGACGGTTTCCAGTGGGGGCTCCAGCAATTTTACCTGCAGCCGCATGCTTCAAGGTACGAACACTGTAAGCCATTTATTCATATCAAGTCAAAGTGGGGGTCGTATCGAGACCCCGATTTTAGGGGAGTGGTACTACTGCGACCACGTGCTCGACAGGATTTTGAGTAGGTCGTATGAGAAAGGGCGCCACTTCTTCCGGGGTATTAGATCGCCTAGGCCAACGGAGCTTTCGTCCCGGGGTCGTTCAAATGGTCGCGAAATATCTGTGTTTGCAAAAGCTATGACTTGCCTAGACTTTCTTCTCGTCATTATATACAGCAGCTACATTTGTACCATTAGTGACAATCCATGCTTCTGAGCTTATGGAATGATAGACGAATGCATGGCGCAGCTTGAAAACTGATTCATCAAGGCCAAGCAATCCACTTTATTCGAACATCTTGAATCTCAATTGCAAAGCACATGCGACTTCTCGACATTAGGGTGATCTACCATGCTCTCAATCCTGTCTATAATGGGTATAACAAAAATTATCTGCGAATGACTATACATAGAAGAAGGGAACGCTCAGATGAATGAACCTGGTCCCTTTTTTTCTTCTTCCAACATTCCGAAGGTTATGAAGTGATGCTGGGGTAGCTGTGAGTAAACGACGCCTTCCAGCTGCGCACTTGCCCTGTCGTCGGGCCGCGCCTCTTCTGTCACACCTGTTTACTGCACCATATTGAGGCCAATCGGCTGTCACTACGCTTCACCATTGAACCTGCCGATCCCAAAGTTTGCTTGGCTCGCTATGAGAACTCCTTCTTCTTCCTTTTTGCCGATTTCGTCTTTCGAGTCTCCTGTAGATTTTGTAGTGCAAAAATCAACCCATTGAAAGGGTATTGCATAGGAATGTGTACTTCCCATCGTAAATGACTTCATAACATTTTAATGGGGAGAGTAGCTGTTATCGGCCTTTGTTCTCTATTTGTGCGCTCACATCATCAGGATTCTTTTGAACATAAGAAGGTTCCTTTTCAGTAATTCAAGACATATGATGAAGCACTTGGACCTCGCGGCTATCCTCCTCGATCTACATCGGATGCGACTAGAACTTGAGAGGTATGCTTTTGCGTGAACGTGAATCCGACTGACTTTTTCCTTTAGCGCCCTCATCGTGACATGAATAGATTTCAGTTATGTCAACTCCAAATCGAGTTTTTTTGCCGTAGATTATTCCAGTCTCAATAGAAATTTTGCAGATATTGGCCAAATCTTACTTTTCTACTTTTCTACAATCACTTTTTCCGTGACTTTTATTATCGGTGCTTTTGTTGAAACTGGCGCTCCCCCAGCCTCAATCAAAACTCCAAAGCCCGCTTGGTCTTTTGACAAGCGCTACGAATTTTTTATTAAGGTCGTCCGCCCGTTCGAGCCAGCTATTTTCACTGCTGCGTCAAGTTCACGTCCCAAAGTTTACTTGAACTATACCTTGGTTGCTGGACATCTTGCATTGATAACTTATGAGCATAGACGGGTTCTCCTAATTTGTTGGTTTAGCATTGACATTATGACTGCAACGCCACATTATGGGTTTATCAGTCACCTTGGGGCGGAAGTGGTGTAGTGACAAGTGGCGCGCTCACCACGCGAGCGGTCCGGGATCAAATCCTGGGTCGTGAGTCGCCCGGGCCAACCAAGCCTTCCATCCCTCCGGGGTCGGTTAATTGGTACCAGACTTGTCTGGGAGGATAAAAACACTGACTTGTACATCGGCTGGCCCCCGCAAGTCATTGTATAGGCCACATCGCATTCAAACGCCACTACGAATGTACAAATGGAAGTAGAATGCGTGCCGCATCCCAAAAAGGGATTGATCAACGGCAAATGCTTTATCCTTTTTATCCTTTATATCTTGTCTGTTTGCTGGAAGTGATATACGGTAATAACTTTCGAAAATATTTTAAAACAAGGAGTTCTTTCGAAAGTGTAAATGCTAGGACACAGAGACGCCGACCTTCCGGTAAGGGAGTAGATGAAACAGCGCGGAGATGAGTGAGCGCAGGCATCCCACCACGTTACTCGTTACATTTCGAGCAATGGATGCAACACGTGACTTTGTCCTGAATGACAAGGAACGCGTGCCTCATTCCAAATAGGTTGCTCATCTCCAGCAAATTGTCTGAATTTATTTTCTTTCCGCGAGACCTCCTTTCTGTTGAACTTTTTGAGATTACTTCATAAACAGCAGTGTGCATCGCACTGTATCATAACCCAAGTTGCTCCTCGAAAAAGCACTGACGTGGTAGAGTGACCTTTGGTGTACTTATGTAAGAGTTCTGGCGAGGCGCCACAACACTGATTTGGACAGATAACACGACTGTAAAACAGGGTGATAAGCGTCCACAGCGCAAATTCGAGCGAGATTCAGCAGAAGCGCTCCTCCACGCCTTCACATGCGCTTCTGCGATACTGAGAAAGCGAGCAGGGACTAGAGAGGATACAAATGTTTGCAATGTTAGGTGTAATTTGCAATGTACAAAGTTCTCTTCTGCGGCACCTCAGGGAATTTCAACCTGCTTCGTTCCATCGTTTCAAAATCTAGTTTGTCCCCCCCGCCCTCCTCAACTTATATGAACTGTGTACTCCTGAGTTAGGTTGAAGATTACCATTTCGTCTGTATTCAGGGTAAGTTGAACCACACAGCGCGTAGGGCTCAACATGTGCCGAACGGTAAATGTCATAAGGAGCGGGGGTACCTTTGACTTTCCTGACATATAAACTGAAGATCAGGGAGAGCGGAACATTGCAGATAATCTGTATTCCCGCTTAAAGCTATTAACGGCGCAATTCTGTTTGCGATTAGATTATTGCACTGACCCCTCCCGCGAAAAAGTTTGCGTAATCTGGAAAGTCGCAGAGAGGAGCCATTTGCAACCAAAATGCATAGAAAAGGCTCCAAGTGCTCAAAATATTGCAACCATGGCCACTTCAAGGAACTCCACACGCTCACAGGAAACGAAGTGCCCCACTGGCAGCAGCTCTGTGATTTCTTTTCTTTTACATAGTTCAACGATGCACTGAAGCAGCCAAATAGCATCCAGTATTCACATATGGCACCCAGTAATTGCCCCTTTTCTCCTTTGAACAATTCCATTAGAATTCTTCGAATATGTACTAGTCAGCTACGCCATGAATTAAAAAAAACGGTGAACTCGAGATTATATACCTGATTGAATGACTCACTTTCTTAATGACGTGGAAGTTTTTTCCAGCTCACTCAAGGAAAAACATAGCAAGAGGGTGAGTCAGCGCGTGACAAGTCAACAGTTACTGGTGATAAATTTACTGCTTCATGAAAGACCACAACGCAACAGTATTAGGTCGAAAGCATCCTTATCGTTTGAAGGCAAACCCGGATGGAAACCGTGGTAAGATGCGCTTTTGTAACGATGACTGAACTGCGAGGCGGCCTGAAAGTAGAAAGGAAAGCTAGAGAAATCTCTGGGATCGCTGAAGTTAAGGCTGCAACCTTCAAAAGGTCGGATGTGGAACGACGGCGAGGCAGGGTGGTCAGAGAAGACGAAACACGCGAGAGATCACGCCGTTCGAGAGAGCAGGCCGATATTAAGGTGGGTGGGAAGCGTTGCAACGAGGAACGATAGTGCACACCCGTAAGTATTAGCGCCTTGACCGAGCTGGAGTGATATAGGTAGGTACGAAACTTACAATTTCCCTCGCGGTATCTTCCCCACTGGTCGGGTTAATCCCGAGGTTTGCCTTCAAGAGCTGACCCCAGTAGTTCCCCACCCCAGTAGTTCAGAGTTGCTTGCCAAATGAAAGGGAAGGAAGCATGTGATCATACGTGGCGGTCCGCACCACAGCTTTTTTTACGAATTTTGCTGCGCTTCAAGTCCCAGCACTGTTAATGGACAAAATCGTGCTTACTCAGCACGAAAACTGATTCATTGATTATTTCTTAGTTCAGATCTTTGGAGTCGTCCGAGGAAACGCTTCTGACGCGACAAGGTAGTATCCGTGGTCGAAAGCTGCACGTATTCAACACCATACGGATGATGAGGATAAAAAGTCAATGGCAGGTCGTCGTTTGCACATTTCGGCAAAGATTGCATAGCTGATTTTGCTCCCGCCCAGTTGAAGCACATTCCACGATCTACATATGGTACAATCCCTTCCGCTTGTGAGGTAGGATGATCCCTAAGCAAACAAGTCGCGCCATTTAATGATTCCAAGCGCATAGCTAGATCTCACAATGCACGCCTTGGAAATGATACTACTCATGAAAACCCCTGCTCTGTCATACTCCTGATTCACCTATTGCCATTGTATGTCACTAAAATAAGTCTGGCAACCGTGAAATACCTCCCCAGAAAACACATTATAACGATAAGGGACCCCATGCATACCACGGGCATATCAACAGTTAACACCTAAAGGATGAATCCGCCTATTTCTGCGCTAAAGTTCGTCCCAACGGTCATGTTCTTTCACTAGATCCTTTTTGGTTCAGAGAGACTACATCAAAGAGGAGATGAACAAGGTTGTCGTCTATATTACGACATGTGGAATCCTCAGGAGAGTTTGGGAGCGATGTCGAGATACGGTAAGATTCACGTTTATTTCATCTTCTGTGCACCTCACTTATTTGATATCCAGGTTGAACTCTTGAAAGCACTCAAAATCAAAGCAGAATTTCGTGATCTCAACATTGACCCCTCTTATGCGCTGATGAATTGGGCCGATCCGAAATGCGTTTAGACACCAGGTCCGGTTGGCAAATAGTATTTTGAAATAACGCGGTCTAACATCGGCTTGAAGACACGCTGGTTTTCAAAAATTCCGAGAACAATTTCAGAGCGATCGGGAATTGTTTACTGACGGCCTTCCCAATGTATCGTTAATAAAATACTATACGGAGTATTTTCGTATTGTGGCTCTTGAGTTTATCATTCAGCTGAGAACTTTTAAAAGTATTAAATGGTTGGCGATCAACTCGACGCAAACCATGGTGCCAAAAAGCAAGCAAAATTCGGAGCTTTATAAGGCCTGCTCACTCCTCCTACATGAGGCTCCTGCTCTTACGAGATTATGATCCCTACTTGGTCACTTCAAAGGTCTAGCTAAAACCATTGTTATAGAACACTATAGGTTACCTTTTCATTTTTCATATTACTCAAAACCAAAGTAGAAAATTACGCCAAAGTAATGCAAGTTGAAGTCATTGTCATTAGTAACGATAAGTTAACCAATGCCCTTGAAATTCGATAAGCCGAAAGGGCTGCTACGCGTTCAAAGTACCGCCGGACATCTGTCACAAATGCTGGCGACGGGAATGCTTCCACTTGGTTCTTGGAGTGCCTTCACTAGAAACTCTTTCTGGCCTTTGACTTATTGCATTCACATCTTACACTTCCTATTCTATCGATTTGTCTCTACTCTCCAAAATCGCACGCTTTAACCCGATTCTTTCATTGCGTCGCCTGATACGTAGCCGCCCAAGGCGGACTTCTTTCCATGCCCCGCCTTTGGCTCCGCGCCCTTACCTTCGATTGTCCATAGAGTGTTTTTGTAAGTTTGTTTCTCTTCGGAAACTGAATCTTGTGCGTGAAACTTTGTATGTTGTCTCTAGTGATCACAACTGACATATGCGTGTTGGGAAAGAATGCAAGATTTTCTCGGGAAGGACTCCAATAAGCTCCTCGGTGTGGGAAAACAACCAAGGAGGTGATGCGCAACTGGAATCAGTAGCCAGGCGGCAAAGGAAGATGCAAGGTGTGGCCTTTTTGCGGTAAACCACGCGCTAGTTACAGCGCAGTGAGGTTCCAAACCTTAAAACCGTGAGGCTCTAGAACTGAACCGTCTATCATTGTATCGCCAGCAGCAGCTTCCTTCACCTTTCATTTCGAAAAAGCTTTCACTCCAAGCGACTGTACCTTTTAGTTTGTCTATGTGATGTGTTATCAGTCGAAGCACGATGTTTGTTGGAGCGATGTCGGCTGTCGAAGCTACGCGTCTAAACAATCTATTTCTCAGTTGTTGTCCATCTATGAACATCAACGGCATACAAAGGGGTTCCATCTTGCATGCTCTTGGCAGATTTCTTTGCTTTTTCGCCACTGATGCAAAATTTGGCTCCCCGTTTCACTCTGAACCACCCCACAAGTGATCGTAATCGCTGCCCTCAATCCATCGAAGAGTCATTACATAAAGACCGCTCCAGATCCGGAGTGTGAGCCTTAACGTGAGGAATACGGCAACGCCAAAAGCTGGGAACATTTTTTGCTTGCGTTAATTCCTATCTACATAGCTGTTCCAAAGCTGAACTGAGGTAAAGAATACGCATTCAACACCAAATTCTTCGTCGTCTGCCGCGCGGTTTTATATCTTGTGTCACGAGACAGCCTTGAATATTTCGAAGCACAAACAGAAACGAAAAATGAACGGCAGCTTCGGCACAATACTACAAGTCTAGCAGAACCCCTAGAACGCCCATTCAATGAATGTGCCTTCGTCGCATGTGAAAGAACATTTAATTATCCTCAAACACTCTCGCGCGCTCAAATAAATCACCACTGCAAGCTCAAGTGGCTTGCAGTTAATGATTTATTCGAGCGTACAAAGGCTTAATTATAATTGAGTGTATGAATGTTCAAAAGCAGCAGAGAATTTTTCAGAACGATGCCACCCTTCATTATAATGAACGGTTTGGAAGGGAACACATTGAATGAGGGACCGGAAGTGATAACAGCTGATAAGGGCTGATAAGAGGTGCAGGAAAGCAAGTGTTTACCAAATTCATGGCAGTGAGGTCTTGGTTCCATAAAGTGATGTAGAGGGTGGGACGGGAACATGTTTGGTGTGGGAAATAGAGTTGTCACGGTCGATAAGATGCCCGTCAGGCTCAGCGATGCTGCAAT